TTTTAAAATTAAAATTGTCATTAACTTGAAAACATTAAGAGTTTTTTTTTTTAGTTTACATGTCTGCTTCAGGGGGCACCTATTTTCAGCATTGCCTCGGGCGCCCGAAATCCTAGCTACGCCACTGCACAATGGGAACATTCAGTGGGAACTTTGTGCCATTATCAATATTTTTTTAACGGATTCTCGTTTTAGTTTAGATACAGTTTTAGTTTTTTTAACAGAAAAAAAATAAAGAATTTTATTTCGAAAATTTAAAAAATATTATGTTCATAGGCCAAGTGAATAAAAAAAAAGACATTGCCTTTACTTAGTAATTGGTCAGCTTTATGTGAATAAAACATGAGCAAATTTGGTTCGATTTTTATTCTTGTAAAGCTAAATAATTATTTGGCGTTTTTGAAGTAAACAAGCTGTTTTATGTGACTTTACGTGAATAGAAACTTGAGCAGATTTGCTAAACTTTTGCAAATGTTTTTTTTTATTCACCCGGCATCCAATGTAAGTGTATAAAACAATAATTTCTGCTCAAATTTTAAAAATATTTTAGAAATTCGTGCACAAAAGTATAAAACTGCAACTTAATGGTTTTTTTGTAATTAAATTCATTCATTCTACTTAACTCTACTCTATCTGATCTTAAAAGGTTTATAACAACGTGTAACAATTACAATAACTTAAATGGCATTAAACTCAATGCTGTCAAAATGGAAGTTTTGCTTTCCAGAAAGCGACTAGTAACTAACTGCAAGATAACCTTAAAAACCATCAAATAATACCAAATGAAAAACTTAATCATCTGGGCTACATGTGGGATACAGAAAAATCCAATTTTGTCTCACTAAATAAATCAAATATTACCAGTAGGGTATCAAATTTCCAAACAACTGTGCAAACTCTGATTCAATTTGGTATCCGATTCGCATATCCATCATTAATTATCCAATTTTATAAATTTTCAGCAGTTCCAACGCTAACGCATGGTCTAGAACTCTGAGAAATAGAGACTTAAAATGCAAAGACTTTATAAAATTGGAAGAAATACAGTTAAGTTTTTTTAATGTATCCAAGTATAGCAAAAACTATATTAACTCTCTATTTAGAGTTCGGGAGATATCAACGTACATACAACAATATAAAATAAACCTATTTATCCGTCTATTTAATAATAAAGTAACTTTTAAAATTTTCAAAATTCTTCGCTACTCCACTGGAAATAATCAAACAACTCCTTCAATTAAGACACAAAAACATTTTGAAAGTTTTCAATTTTAGAACGACATATTGGACATCTTTTGTTTCCGCCATTTTCAAGGTTATCTGAACACTGAAGACACATACAAAAGTGTCTACACGGCAGAACATCAACTTCTAAAGGAAGTGCAAGATATATCTTGCACAATGTCTCCATAGGCCTGGTCTCTTGTTGATGATCCTGAACATTCTCTTGTGGATTTTCGTCCTAAAATTAAATTTCAAAAATGAAATTAGATAAAAGCATTTTAAAGGTATCTTATAATATAAAAATTATACTAAAAATTTTATGTTTTCGTCCAAAAACATTAATTTACTGTAGTATAATAGTAATGTAGTCCAATCATTTTGACTATTTTATTTACCTGCTCTTGTTCTGTATCTCCCTCTGATGTGAGTTTGATGTCATTAAAGTAGAAAGCTGAAGCCTCAAGAAACTTTGTTGGAGTCCACTCTCCTGAGGAAAGTTTTTCTTTATAACTTTGTAATCTTTCAAAAGATCGAACTCTCTCTCTTCTTTGTCCTCTTCGAGGTTGATGAACATTCTGTAATTGCTTGAGTACCAGTTCTGCATTCGAAATTATCTAAAAAGTTCATTAAAAAATTTTTCACAATAATAAATTTAATTCAAGTAAACAAAGATTGAGATTGTAAATGCAATAAAGATTACATATGTATCATCAAAATGTTATTAAGAGCAGATATGAGCAAACTGTCACAAATAAATCACACTTTCAAGCCGTTTCAAAATATGAACAAATGATTTGATTTGTAAAATATTTCTTGATACAAATTTAAGTAGTGCAATTGTGAAATTATGATATTTAATGCTAATTTATATGATGATTCGCACATATCAGAAGAGACCCTAATGCCTTAAGGGATTACAAAAAAAATCAAGTTACTTTACTATGAGTTTAATCGACGGAATTTATCCTTTACAATATTCATTTAAATATGGCAATACCTGATGATATATATCATCTAGAAACCTCCAGAAGCTTGGGTGAGCAGCCATGCATCTATTCCTTTTTGAATGCAGTGATTCCGAGACATTGTTGGTTCTGAATTGAAGTCCATGCACAGAAAAAAAAGCTAGAGTTAGTGTTGTCATCCAATACTTCTCAAAGTAATACACAAACTTTCTCATTTTTTCACGAGTTTCAATGTTTGCAAATCGACTCATCTCTATTTTGAGTAAATCTACTTATACTCTGACGAGAACACAAGGCAAGAGGCACATGGCAACGAATTTCCGGCCCCACCTCTTAATTGCAGGGTTGTTGATGCACTCAGATTGAAGACCAACAGCTTTGATTTTTCTTAAAATTGCCTGGCCGTAATGAAACCGGCAACCAGTCAATCTTATTTCAGGGAAGACAACCTTCAATGCACCGCCTATTGCTGCTTCATAGTTAGCCATAGAAATTTGTGGTTGAAAGTCACTTGAAAGTTCCTTAATTTTTCTAAATATACCAATGTAAATACCTTCTTTTCACCCAGTCATAGGTACATGACACACAGGAAGGACTATGTCACAATGCATAATGGAGATATTTAGTAGTTGACTTCCTTTGAAGATGCTAGGAACAACACGAAATGTTGCATCAATGAAAATAATTGTAGATCCTGAAAAAAATGAATAAATTTGTAAGAGTATTGAAAAATATAACAAAAACAGAATATTATGAGCAAGCTAAGGTTAAAAGATGTTAAATAAATTTCTAAAAAAAAATTCACAAAAAGTCATTAATTTTGAGCTAAATTACTGTGCTACCTGAGAATATTTGTAGTAGTGCTGATGAACAAAATAGTATGGCCAACTGATCTTCAAATCTGACAATTCCTTTCAGAATGTTGTTAAATAGATTTGGCTCAGATATTGCCAATACTGCTTCTTCTACGCTGTTGGGATTTGCACTGTACTGAGTTTTTCTTGCACCACAAAGTTTCTGTTCACATTTTAAGTAGGATAAAGAATTTTTAACATTTTCAGGACAGTCTCGAATGATTTCCATGTAAATCTGGCGCAACGGAATTTGTGTAGTTGCAGCTTTGAGTCTCATTTTTTCCATCACTTCCAAATGGCTAAAATCTTCTGTTTTGGAATCACAAGAGTGGCCTCGCATTGTCTCAAGTAAATCACCTCCTTCGCGTATTTTTGCAGTTCCAACACACAGTTGATAGTTTTTGCACTTAAAATAAATGTAACCATTGTGATTCTTATTTTTTACATAGCAATTATTCCCAGCTATGTAGAGGAATGATATTCTCCTTTCGCCTTCAACTTTTTGATACTCCATTCCGTTTTTATTATTCCACCAACTATGAGATATTTTTGAAAACAAACAATGCTATTTTTCAATTTATTATGTAGGACTGTATTCAAAACAGTAAGCGCATTAAACTTATATTACAAAAGCATTAAACTAAAAATATTTATAAACGCTTAAAAAATTTGGTGCTACAACTTTCGGTTGTAAACCATTTTAATGAAATTCGGTTCTAAAATCATTAATGACTTTCGATCGAAATTTTTTTGGTTCTAAAATCATTAATGACTTTTGATCGAAAATTCAATCGAAATTTTTTCGGTTCTAAAATCATTAATGACTTTCTATCGAAAATTCGATCAAAATTTAATTTATAATTAGTAAACAAAAGTATTTTTGAAAAATAATCTCAATCAAAAGATTGAGATTATAGATATAACAACCTGATGCCAACCTCTAAAAGATTGAGATCAGCAAATTATTACCGACCTCCTTTTTCCTGATTCCGAAGGTTGTGTGTGTATATATATATAAATATATATATATATATATATATATATATATATATATATATATATATATATATATATATATATATATTATATTATATAATATATATATATATATATATATATATATATATGTTATATTATATAATATATATATATATATATATATATATTTATATATATATATATATATATATATATATATATATATATATATATATATATATATATATATATATACTATTATATATTATATTATATATATAAAATACAGAAGATATTATATAAGTTTTGATAATTTTAATAAAAGATTGAGATTATTTTTCAAAAATACTTTTGTTTACTAATTATAAACTTTTTAAATAATTTTTTTTTTACAAATTGTGTTTTTTTTTTTTGCTATATATACTTTGTCTTTTTATTAGTTTCTGCACCATTCATTTGACTAGTTTTTTTGCCATATATATTATTAGTGAATAACAGTCTGGACAAAGTTATAATCCTGAAGTAACTAAATACAAATAAATTTACAAGAGTAGATGGAGTTCACGCATTTCCTTTTAAATGTTGCGCAGATGCGTGCTCCTTTTCTTTATCACTTATTTTTAATAAATCATATGACACAGGAATAATTCCATTGATGTGGTTAAATGCTAATCTAACATAGTATATCAAACATAGTTAATGTTATACATAGTATATAATAACATAGTATATAAAATGATAATATGTTTTAAACTACACAAGGGACTTAATTTTACAATTTCATAACCTTTAAACTTCAAAATGAAATAAATAACAAAAATTTAAGTTAATAAACATTAAAGAAATTTATCGCCCTAATTTGTTGTACTTGTGATACAAATTATCACTTTGAATTTATCTAAAAGAAATGTAAATTATGAGACAGGATAATTTTTAAAAAAAATAATACGCATTTAATTTTCAGTTCAAACAAAAATACCTGATTAAATGCAGCAAAATATAAAATGTAGTAAAAAAACATGGGAAGCACAGAAAACAATTTTTTTATATCTTCAACATCAGACTCTGAGTATTTGCCACCATAAACCTCTTTAGCTCTATCTAGCCAGTGCTGGATTGGAACATAGCTCTCATATTTTGAATACCTGAATAATTTTAAAGTTGCTTATAAAGTCATAGCAAATCCTCTTCAATAAACTAAATTTTATATTAAAAAATAAAAATTATTAAAAAGAGAAATAATTATGCATACTTATTATCAGCTTTTCTTTTTGAATTACAACATATTTTAAGTATTTTCACCAAAAATTTTTTACGTGCTGGTACTACTGCATTATAATTCTTCACTTGAGGAATGCAAAAAACTATTAGTGCAATTATCAACAAAGCAACAGAAATAGGGTAGCCTTTTATAAAACCATATTCTTGTTGAATTAAAGTTAATGCAGAATAGCCTGTGAATGCACCAATATTTAATGCCCAATAGTAGTATTGAAAATATTTTTTTAATTCAACATCATCAGTATCATTTATCTGATCAGCTCCAAATGGTGACATATTTGATTTAAAACAACCTTCACCAATAGATACAAGAAACAGTGAAAAAAAGACCCACACAATATATTTATTTTCAATGTTTGGTGTGCTATTATAATTGACTGTTAATTGGTTTTTTGTGACTTGTGTTGATTGATTGGTATTTGGTACATTATTTGGATTTACAACAAAATTAATAGCAGGTAACATCCCAAAACCGATAATATAAACAAAAAATCCAAATATAATAGTACGAAACCTTCCAAGTATAAAATCTCCGAGAACACCACCAATAATGCATGATATCCAGGTTGTGTATATAAAAAACTGGGTTGTAACTATACTTAATGAACTAGAATAATTAAGATATTCCAATAAAAAAAAAGTCAAATTCGCAGACAAACTATAATAAGCTGTTCTTTCTAATACAACAACAAATATAAAGCATACTTTAACAAAAATTGAATTTCTTTCATTTAGTGTGTTTAAATACACTCTACGATTATAATAACATCTTGAGTCGTCAGAATCGCTATCATTACTAACTTCATCTTGGCCGGTACTCCTTGAAATGCTCTCATTTGGATATTGCATTTTAACATTAATTTATTCTAATATTGAAAATATGACAAGAAATACGTGTGTTTAGAGGAAAAAAATAGTCAAATAATTATAATATACATCAATAAACACTCATTAAAAACGGAAAATATATCTCCGATTAAAAAGCTGTTAATTACTTAAGTAATTAAACCTAATAATTTTATGCATAAAAGCTACACGCGCTCCAAGTTTTTCATTTAAATAATATTATTTTATAACTGTTAATAAAAAAAACAACTAAGTAGTGAAAAAATACATTTTAAATACCACTTCATTGTTGTTACTTCATTATGAAGAAACAACAATGGAGTGGTTTAAGGTGACTGTTGTAATACATTAGTTTATAATCAGTGCATGTATAATTAGTTTATAATTAGAATATTTGTTTATAATTAGTGGTTTATAATCAGTGGCTTTCAAGATTAGACAACTAAATTTTTTCCCATTTTGTCCACATACAGGCGTATGTGGACAAAATGGGAAAAAACTACGGAAAAAAACACATACTGAAGTTTTTTAGTCCCTGTGTTTTTAATCCCTATGTCAACTTATTGCACCTCCTAACATCGAGTGCAATCCAGTCCGCTTTCTCTATGCTGTCTTTCTAACACGACTACTTCTATCTTTCATTCTAACATTTCTTCGCTCATTTTACTCTTGGTCCGTAGAGCGGGTTATGACGCTCCTTGGGGAGTCGAACCTGTCTTCGGTACCTTGGTAATGTGGCCTCTATATGGCAACTAGCCGGAGGAGGATAAACCACAATACCAAATGGGAAAAACTTAGTTGTCTTATCTTGAAAACTTTTTTTAATTTTAGAATCTACATATATTAAGTCAAATTTATTGATAATTTATTTATATTAAATCCCTTAGTTACCAGGACACTAAACATTTGAATATTGAAATTAAAAAAAAAAAAAAAAATTAAATAAGTAATTTACGACATTAACGCTGTGTTATATTTCAATTAAATCTACGATTTTGAAACAAATAATTAGTACATGTTTTTCTTGAGTACTTTGAGATAAAAACCAATGTGTGAAATAAATATGTCATACATGTTATCTCAGTTATACTTTGAAAATCAGAGATTAAAAAAAAAATCTTTAAGAAATTTATTTTTTGCGGCACTATAACTAATAATTACCATAATTTGCCATATGCTGTCTTATATATATTTAAGCTATATGATGATATCAAGTTTTAATTGATTGCTCGCCACCTTATTTCCCTAACTTGGTTGCTATGTTACTGAATTTCGCATAGCAACAGCTTATTTTTACATTAACGTTGTTTTAACAGTATTTTATCTGCGCTAAGTACACAATATTGGGAGTATGTGTTAAAATAAGATTCACAATTTTTATGAGTTTAATTTTTTTTTGGTTGCTAAGGTTACTTACTTTGTATAGCATTTAAACAACATATTTTAAACACATATTATCGGTAGTTGTCAGTAATTTAAATTCTAACACTAACAATAATTTAATTAATTTTAATTTTAATTACTAACACTTGTAGTAGCTTAATTACTAACAAGAATTAGTTGTCCACGCGGCATATATTTTATAACATTAAACTTTTAAATACAAAATATTTGTTATAAGAATTATTTAGATATGGTTTTATTAAACTTAAATATTCCCCGGTGGGAAATCGGCAAGTGAATAGCTAGCTATAATCGTTACGATAAAGACAGTGATTTGGCCGCAAGGACCGCTAGCTTTTTTAAGTCAGCGAAAAGCTATCGATATTTGTAAAGATAAAGACAGCGATTTGGCTACGAGGACAGCTAGCTTAATAAGCTATAACTCACAGGCTATTTTAGCTACCATCATACCGTAAATAAATCGCTATCAAAAAAATTTTGGTATGTAGCTATCAACCAGCTATAGATTTGTAGATATTTTGTAGCTAGCTACAAAGCTACGATATGTAGCTAGCAACACATTGCTACAAAATCGCAATGTTTAAAGTTCAATTATTCTCATAAATATAATAGACTCAACACTGAAAATCGAGTTTTTCAAGATGTTAGAGACATTAGTAAAGAATAATAAGAAAAAAAAATTGCTTGAAAATCGATATAAAGCTAGCTAGCCGCTCGCTAGTCGCTAGCTCATTTCCCACCGGGTCATAGTTTTCCTAAAAAAAAAACAACCTTTGTATTTCAAAACAAAATATTGAAATTTATTCAGCCAAAATTTGCTGAATTTAAAGACGTTGATTTTCGACATACTGTTCAACAATTAGTTTACTTGTATAAAAAAAAGTGGAAATCTGCAAACTATACTGTTACAAATTTCGAAAAGAAGTTTGTATATTGGCTTAATGAATATTTAATTGTCAGAAAAAACAACAACCAACCAACTGCAAGTAGACGTGGTCGAAAACCAGTTGCATTTGATAATAGTTCTAATAAAACTAAAAAACGGCGTGTATCTTGCTTAATTGAATCCCATTCATCCAGTGAATTATTTTTTGCTCTAATAAAAAATTTAGAGATGAATCTATTGTTAGTGCTGCCAAGAACGTTTTAAATATTTCAAATACAAATAAAGCAACTAAATATTCAGCAGACAAAGCACTGGCTTTAATAATTGATGCCAGTCTGACAAAAGTTTCGATAATATATTCAAATATATTCAAAAAGTTTCGATAATATATTCAAAATCCGATAAAATATTCAAATATCAACTTATATCTTTGTAACTAAGGAATGTATCTGGTAATTAAGCAATATAAGTATCCATAGCAACTAAATTAAAAAATTATCACTTTTAAAATAAGTGTGATGTCATATTGGTACTCATGCCAAATTTAGGAATATAGCACTCATTAAATATCTGCAGATAACAAAAATAGGTTGTTGCTAAGCAAAATAAAGATATCCATAGCAACGAAATAAAAAATATTATCTTTATAAAAAGCGCAGACATCATATAAGTACTCATGCTAATTTTAGTGAATATAGCTCTAATATTAAATTAGTTATGACTTTTTTCCAGTAAAAGTGAATTCTGGCCCACTGTGCGGCGCCAGCATTTTATGGTCTTTGAGATATGGTCTTTGAGCTAACTTCTAGACATGGAGCAAACTCCAAACATTTATAAGTTTATACTTATGCAAAATAAGGATGCTTTGCATAAAATTACGATGATTGGAGCTTGGGAACAAAAAAATCCCAAAAATTTGACCGACACTGGGGGGTTTAAACTTTATATGGTCATAATTTTTAAACGCTGAGAGATAATGCTATGAAACTTAAAACTTATTGATAAATATAAGTCTTGTTGAAAGTAGTGCAAAAACTAAACTCACGTTTAGGGCAGTGTCGGCCGAATCTTAAGAGCTTTTTTGTTCCAAAGCTCTAATTATTACAATTTTTGCAAACTATCTTTATTTGACATAAGTATAATCGTATAAATGTTTGAGGTTTGCTCCATGCCTGAAAGTTTGCTATCTCAAAGATCAAAAGATGCTGGCGCCGCTGTTTATAATAAAATCTATATTCTATTACTAATCATTTTATGCATACAAGTTACACGCGCACCAAGCTCTATATTTATACAATAAAGTTTATTGTGCATATATTAGTTTAAAAGCATTAGATTTTAGATTATTTTTGAATTTACTTAGCTGAAATTGGCGAAGTGCTTATATCAAAATTAAGTGGTCCCAGGTTCGATGTCAATTCTGGACAAATTTACGGCTTAAAATTGGCTTGGTTAGCATGGACCCAAACCTAGCTGACCCAAAAAAGCTATGAGATAGGATTTTTAGGATGTAAATTTTGAAATCTTTTAATTTTTTCCGCAAAAAATAATTTAATTTGAATGTTCGAATTAAGTGAAGTTTTGATTTTATCGTGCGACAATAAATACACCTGTGAAATGAGAACTACTTTATATAATTTATTAAAAATAGGTGCAAATGTAGCATATAAACTCTGGGAATGTAGTACTCTGGTGTGAGAAACTCTGGAATATAAATTCTGGAAATGTAGCATATAAACAATGGAAATATAGCATATAAACTCTGGAAATGTAGCATTAAACTCTAGAAAAAATTTCTGATATATTAGTTAACTGGTTAAGTATTTATGTTTTAATTTATATTTTGTTACAGTTTTTTTTTACTTATACCTCAAAACGTTACCAATTTTCAAAAAAATGGTTCCATAAATGTTTTATTATGTTATACAAACAATTTTTATATTTATTGTTTTACTGTTACAACTACCATTTCGATTTTATAGACTAAAATGAAAGCATGGTTTGACTTAGCATTGCGAGAAAATATCAGCTTTTTCTAAGGTATAAACTACTGTCTACATAAAACTACGTAAAAAGAAAAAACAAAATTAGATAAGATAACTAAAATTATTGACAAATAAAAAGTTTGGAGGGCCAGCGAGAAGAAATCTTATAAAGGGGTTAATAGCGTTTTTAAGATTTTACAAAAGATTTTTCAAATTTTGGAAAATCTTTTGTAAAATGTAATATCAAATCTCTTCTAAATTGTCAGCAAATATGAAAAGCAGTGACTGATTCAGCATTTTTTAACCCTATCAAGTAGGGATTACAAAATAAAGGTAGGGAGAGTTTTAACTTTATATGGTCATAATTCACCGTTCCCACTATAGATAATTTTCAAAATACATTGTGGTAAATGTATGCTGCATAAAAACATTATTAAGAAATTTTATACACTATAGATAAAAATGATTCAAATATAACTTCAAAATGTAACCCTATTCTTCAATCAAGCCTTATTTTACCTTGTTTGTTGTAAATTTGATGGCTAGTTTGTTAAAGAGTTGTCGTTTTTGTTTTAAATTTAAGATGGATCAAGTAGGTAACCTAAGAAAAAGTACCTAACAAAATGTTTATTATGTGAAATATCTAACAAAGAGTTTAAAATCGATGAAGAAGAATTGTTCCTAAAGTAAAGTATTGGACTTGGGCAGTTTCTACTTTGCCTACAATATCACACTAGCGTGTATATTAAAACTTATATAAAACAATACGATATATTATTTTCCAGTTTATATATTTACGTCTTTACAATAAAATGTTTGTAAATTACGACATTGCTTGAGCAA